AAACAAACGTTCACTTTACAAAGATATTTTAATTTTTTAAAACAAATTAATCACCCTGTCAAAATCCTTTGTGTTACGGCATTGAAATTCGAACAATACGTTATTTCAATGATTTTGGGTTTTTTTGAGACACCCTGTATATATACAAATGTTTATCTAATTTAAAATGCTAAAAATGTACGTATAATAGAAAATGCTAAATTTAAAAGTCCAGTGTATTAAGAATACTATAAACAATAGCTAGTTAAAATCTATATGCTAATTGTCCTCCCACTACAGCCGTTAACGTTCATTACTGTCGTTCCAATTGAAGTGTTGCTCAAATATTGATTCAATACATTACCCCGGGCTGACCAATTCAATTCATCAAGTTCCTCAAGATATTCATACACTTCCTAGTATAATTGTAAACTTCCTGTTGAATAGTTTGAATGCACCAATCACCTTTGTTGTTTGTGCAACTAACCAATCATGAATAGAAAGGAAGTGACCAGAAATGATCAAATACTTGGAATTGGCTCTTTCACAGGAAGTGTATGAATATCTCGAGGAACTTGATCAAATGAATTGGTCAGCCCGAGGTAATGTATTGAATCAATATTTGAGCAACACTCCAATTGGAACGACAGTAAGTGTCCTGAGAATGTTTTTGTATTTCTAACGCCTCGATATACCTTCGTTCCTCGTGGTTACTGATGTTTGCGTGTAAAATGCTCCAGGTTATTTGCGGTAATTTGCGGAAACAGACAGCATATAAGTGTTTATATACTGTCTGTTTCTCCATGGTTAGGTGCTCTTTTACTCGTGATCCTATTGTTCGTCCCGTTTCCCCAATATATACGGTTCCACATGCTGAACATATACCACATTTTTCTTTAGGCTGCGATTTGATATTTTGCAAGTCTCACATCCCTCGGGACAGTTCTGTTTTACTTTGGGTGGAGCAAAAACTTTCGACAAGGGTTGACCATTCATAAAATGTATTTTTACGTTTTGTATGCGTGATCGATTTAAGACCTCCAAAGCCTGTCGTTTGAATTCTTCGTTGATGAATGGTAATTCCAAATAGACGAATTGTTGTTGGTCATCGTTTTGACGTCTATTGTTACGAAGAGCGCTTCTCGTCACAGATTTGATAAAACTCTTACGCCCGTATTCTAAAAGCTCACTCACACTCACACTCAATGAGTGGAGGTTCAATCTGAGCTTTTCTTGAGTGTCAATGCTGTTTTTAAATAGCTGGAGGGTTAGTGCCGTACCATACTATGTGACTACTCACCCTCCAGCTATTCGAAAACAGCATTGACACTCAAGAAAAGCTCAGATTGAACCTCCACTCATTGAGTGTGAGTGTGAGTGAGCTTTTAGAATACGGGCGTTAGGGTATACCCGTTGTTCCAAAATTTTGGAAATATCGAACGGTTGCATGTATATTTCTCAAGCGATATATTGACGACTGTTTCGCCTTCTTATTATCTAAGGAATTTACGGGGGAAATGCTTTTAACAACAGCTAATGGTCTGAACAATGCAACCAAGTTCACAACAGAATTACCCACAAATAACCAGTTACCATTCTTGGACACCCTAGTAACCTTAAACTCTCATACCAGAATATTTTCCACGACCCTCTATGTAAAGCCCATACATAGCCGGTGTATTACACCGTGGGACAGCCACGGATCAATCTCTTCTAAACGAGCTATTGTTATCGGGAAAGTAAAGAGAGCTATTAAATGTTCAACCGATTCTGTATCACAAAAGCAATCACTCAACCTAATCACAGAATTATTCGTGGCCAACGGGACCATAGAGATTATAAATAACACTAAGGAGGCATCGAGTTTAAAAATTAGGAACGCAGCTAATGGGGGGCAAATTCAAGTCCCGGATATAAAATCGTGCTCTCATTGGCTGATTTGAAACTCGTCACCAATGGGAACACGAATACACATCCGGGACTTGAATTTGCCCCCCAATAGTCGCGTTCCCTTCTTTTTACTGAACTAAGATTACAATGCCTCCTCTAGTGTTATTTATAATCTCTATGAACGGGACCCTAAGAGTTTTATCAAATCTGTGACGAGAAGCGCTCTTCGTAACAATAGACGTCAAAACGATGACCAACAACAATTCGTCTATTTGAAATTACCATTCATCAACGAAGAATTCAAACGACAGGCTTTGGGGGGTCTTAAATCGATCACACATACAAAACGTAAAAATACATTTTATGAATGGTCAACCCTTGTCGAAAGTTTTTGCCCCACCCAAGTAAAACAGAACTGTCCCGAGGGATGTGAGACATGCAAAATATCAAATCGCTGCCTAAAGAAAAATGTGGTATATAATATTATATGTTCAGCATGTGGAACCGTATACATTGGGGAAACGGGACGAACAATAGGATCACGAGTAAAAGAGCACCTAACCATGGAGAAACAGACAGTATATTTAAAGAACGGCTCCCTGTAAATATCGAATATCGAGTTTCATACGGCGAAAATTGAATTGGCTCAAAATTTCACAGAATAACGATCAAGATGAAATATTATTTGTGTCAAAGTTTCAGCTCAATCGAATGAGTATTCCTCCTGACTGACGAAAATTTCTTGGTCTTCCACGTTCTCCGTGTCGCGTCGGCCATTTTAGTTAGAGTACTATAGAGGGCCCAAATTTTTTAAACACTTCGTGTTGTAAAATTTTGAAAACGTGAGCAGGAAATAGGATTAATTTCTCCCCAGGGAATAATATTTTGGTGGAATTTCATATAATCTTTAAAGTTTCACAGACATGTAAATTTAGGTTAATTTTCAATCAACAGAAAATTAAGGAAGTTTGAACGTAAATATCATCCACTGGTACATGGCATTGTTTCTTAAGACTTTTACCTGGCGAAAGTGCAACCTTTGTCTTACTCCTTATGCAATAAAATCCTTGGGAAAATTAAACTGCGCAACATTTTCGCGTAAGACACAAGGCACCCTGACAGTTATTGAATGCAACGTGCCGCCGACATCACGAACTATAACACAATGTTAAAAGGGCAAAAATTACAAGTTAGCAGCACAAACAATTATTAGATACACTCTAGCAAATGTGTTAGGAATTTAGAGACTATTACTTATAATAAATGAGCAAGTTTGTGCATATTTTTTTAGAACAAGTGATTTATATAGCCAATTATACATGAGGGATCTATATAATCTATGAACTGTAAATTGTGAAACGCGAGACTGTGACATTTTAATTGTCTGTTCTTTGATTTTTGCACGGTAGTTTTACTGCCGTTCTCTTCGCTTTAAGTTTACCTTTTGGAGGAAGATAAAATACTTCTGATATAATCATCTTGTAGGCTAAATACGGTTGAAGTTTTCGAGACGTAAACAAATAATAAGCGGAAGTAAAACTGAGTCAAAGTGGTAGTATTAATTTTAATTATTAACATGAAAGAAAACTGTTTACTTTGGTCAATTTTAGCATAAAGGCCAATCGATGAGTACTATTGATGTATATTTGTAATTATTACAAATTATAATTAACAATTATTGGATGAGGTTTTTGTGATATTTGGAATTAGACGAAGGCGAGGCTGATAACGCTTACCGAGACCTTGATAATTTTGCATATCGCAAAAACAGAATTCAATAATTGTTTTATTATACATTTGAAGAATAATAAACATAGTATTTTAATATTTTAATTTTTTTGCGATATGCAAAATTATCAAGGTCTCGGTAAGCGTTATATTCAATATCATTTCTGGCAAAGCTGTTCAAGTAAAACGTTTCTATAAACAAGTCTCCGGAAGTCCAACAGTTAAATTAATTACAAATATAGAAGAAACATATTATCGTTAAGATCTTAACGTATTAAAATATTTACTTGTTAAAGTAAACATTACAATTATGAAATGTTCATTCATTTGAAAATTGAAATGTATACTCATTTGAAATGTACACTCATTCAACCTCACGCAACCTACACAAAATTCAGTTATCTGCTAGGTTGCGTGATTGCGCGATTTAACTGTAAGCTCTTAGCCAATCAAATTGATTTTACCAACTACAATGTATAATAACAATAATTATTATTATTATTAATGCTAGTGCCGCTAGTATTGAGTATACAATAAACCTGGTTCACATATACCTGCGGTATGTCGGCCGTCGGCGGACTATTGTCGTTTAACAGTTCAACCAAATAATTCACAAAATATTGTATGCATCAACAGCTGGAAAAAATGATAGCGCAGGCATATCGCAGGCATAGGTGAACCAGGCTTAAAGGCCTGCATTTAAACCGCATTTCCGTCCTTTTAATTAAAAAACTAACTAGGAAAATAAATTAAGCATAATTCAAGAGTCAGCAAACTTAATGTTTTTAACATTTTAAAAGATATTTATTGTTAAAAACATTAACTTTACTGATCTTGAATTATGCATAATTGATTTTCCTTTTAGTTTTTTCAATCAAAAAGGCTGAAATGCGCCTTTAACAAATCTCAGTGTTAATTAACGCAATGCATGTATGCATGCTGATTAATCGAACACTAACAATGCAGTTGATTTTCACCATAATTGGGAGCAGTTTTGATAATTTGCCTTCATTTTTGGTAAATAAGTCATATTACAATTCTAGTCATTTTCAATTGCAGTCGCATATTTCAACTAGTTCTGTTATCTTTGCGCCCAGAAGTAGTGCCTTCCATGTTTATGCCAAAATGATCGCAGACATTCCGAAGCATGGGTATGCTTAGTTTATTCAGCTTACTTTCTTTGCACATTTTTCACAGATTGTAGGTGTCAAACACGATAGGTTGGCGGAGCTGGACTTCGCTAAGGACTAGCGTACGAATGTCCTCGTAGGCCTGTTCTTCTTCTGCTGCAGCTATATCGTCATCATTAGGCTCCAGGTCGGTCTCGCATGTCGACTGCCCCTGACGTCGTAGTTTTGCGGCCCTCCTCGAGAAGAAAGACTGGATTTGTCTGGCGGTCAAAAATTCCTGAACAGTAAACAGTCTTGCTCCTTTATTGTTTCGAGCGAAGCGCATGTCATGTGCTACGACTGCTGGATCTTGCTTGTGGCCCGTTTCTTGACCAATCATAAACTTGTCTTCGAGGTAACGTTTCTGGGTATCACTGAAACGATTCCCCTTCTTAGATGAGCTCAGGGCCCAACCCACTGGGAGCGGTGTGCTGCCCTCCTGAGACATCGCTTCGGCCTGGATAGTTATTGAAGCACATCCGCCTTCGAGGAGTTTCCTTTGATATAATGTTTTAGCCTTGTCAAAAAGCGTCTCTTTTTCTAGTTGTAGTTGACATTTTCCAAACTCAAGGTGCTTTTCAAGACTAGAATGGCGCTGATAGCTTTTGACGTATCCCTCATTTGGGCATGAAAACAAAAACTGGGAAGGAATTTCAAACGTTGTCGCTTCTTCTTGCAGATCGTTTTGCTGCTCATCCGGCTTTTGGTGATCAGTTGGGTGTTTTTTCTGCCATACATCTTTGAAGTGTCCGGGCGAAAAATGACTATTAAAAGTCGTCTCCAAGTAATCTGAAATATAGTATTACATATAATAAATGTTTTAATATGAGCACGCATGATAAGGTTTTTATTTCTGGTTAACTATCAACACCAATACATGCGATTAAAGTTCTCTATGCAGCTATTTTATGTTACCTTGGGCCAGTGAGCTCCATATATATCTGGAGTAGGAACTTGGTTGCTCAAAGTGAAGCCAAAAAAAATCCAAGATGGCGGACATTGAAGGAGCTGTTGGACGTCAGTTTTAGTCCCCTGCGCGGTTTTATATAGCGTTTGCTAGATGCTTAATCCAGAGAGCGTAAATAACCCCATATAGCAAAATAGCAGAAATAGTGATATATTGAGCTCGCTGCATTAAGCAGCATAAAAGACGACAAAAAATACAAGTGAGAAAAGTTTAGTTTCTTTGATACAATTTCCGTCCCGTCAAGTTGTAGGCTAAAATGTAAAAATGCCGTTATATTGTGTTGCACCTGGATGTAAAAGCAAGCAGACGAGCGACGAAAAAACAACAAGAAAATTTTTAGCTCTTCATAGGTAAGCGTAGATTTTATATTGCGGAATACACAAGTGCATTGTTTTTATATCGCAATGCTTTTGTTGTGTAAATTGCGGTCTAAATTAAATGCGTCAAACCGGAAATTTGTTTGTTGAATAATTATATAAAAATTTTAAAAAGCCCGCGTTGCTTGTGTTTTGATACAAAGAAACATGGCGGAAAAATTTCATGGACACGATCATGCGATACTGACGAGAAAGACGATTGTAAACAGTAAAAATATAAAGTTTTTCAACTACAAAGTCACATTATTCACAAAGTGTAAAATGATGTTTAATATGTCAGGTTTGCTAAATATTTGCTGAATACAAACTATCAAAACAGTACAATTAAAGGATTTTGTGGATTTACAAAGAATTGCAAAAGTTTTTCATGGCCAGGATGAGGATATAAAAACGATAGCTTGATGACCGAGGACTTGCAAAAGATTTGTAAAGTGGATGTAACTATATAGAGTGGTGGTAAACAGCGAACAATATTAAGGAACTGTTGCTGTTGTAAATTTCCTTTAGTTTTTATACAAATATGAAATATAGAAATTATTTTCATATTGTTTTTAAAAAATCAATACAGTATATACTTTAAAAAAAATTTTCAATACAAACACCCAAATTAGACATTGTGGTAAAGATTCGTAGTACGGCAAAAAAGGGCAGTCCGAGTGACCACTTGCATTTTAAATGTTATATAATGAATATAATTTTGCCTCTTCCAGGGTACGTAGCTCAGGGGATAGGATGTCCCTAGTGCCCGAGATCATATAAACAGCACTTAAGAGATGACTTTTGCAAACTTTGTTTTCCCATTAGCTGGTAGAGCAATGTGCAAATGTGCCCATTTAAAAAACTTTAGTTAGTATCTAATCTGTTTGATGCCAGACATGTTTACTTGTCAGTGGTAGAGTACTGCCAGAAAATGGGTCAACAAACTTATGACACTTACACTGCCAATCAGCCAATGTCTCTTATTAACACATGTAGCTGGCAGTGCACCCAACAGGGCCTCTTTTAACATATAGAGGCCCCTGAGAACTACCTGCAGAAGGTGGTCAACCTGCAATTACGTATCAAAGTGAGAAATTGATGTTAAGTTGTTAACATTTCTGAGTTTGACCATCATGTGCAGGGCTGTAACTAGCTATGAGTGAACCGAGTCTGTTGACTCAGCAGGCCAGAATTTGGGGACTGAAATTTAAACATCGCCAGAAACCTAAACCATGATGACTGAAATAATTTGTTCATGAAACAAGGCATGGAATGGCATTATAGGACGATGTTTAGTTTTTCCAAGTAAAGATACTTCAAAGAGACCACCCTATCTTGCTCTTCAGTGACACTGAGAAGACAAATGCGCCGATTTCAAGTACCCCTTTAGAGGCTCGCGCCTTCTGTGGTCGACTCGGTTGTTTCAGAATGCTAGTTACGGCCTAATCTGCTTCCCAGTGATGTATACTTATTAGTTAAACCATGCATATATGTGCTGGTAGCTGCAGTGATAGACTTGCTGACTGGAACTTCTTGAGGTCCCCCGCAAAATATGTCCCCTCCAGTTACATATCCTTAAAAGAGGCCCTGGCACTCTTTGTGCCCTACTTTGTTATTTACTCTGTCTAACGCTAGACAATTTTACTTGTCAGTGGTGAAGTACTGCCAGTATATTGGTTAATTAAACAAATTTATTTGTGTTGTGTTAATTAATAAAAGATCACACAAAATTGATTTTTGCATTTATTTAATTAATAATTACAAACTGGTTTGTCAGTTGCTTTTTAACAAATTACAGTTGTATAGCAAGGGGTGGGGGGGGAGAGAAATTTTTATTGTTTCTGACATTTAAGATACAGAAACTTACAGACCATGTCAAGTCCGTAATGTAAACAAATCCTTTTTTTACATTTTGAACTGCTATATTTGTAAAATAAGACATACTAACTGAATATCTGACACTTTTCTGGTTCACAATTGTAAATTTATATAAACTAGAGTACGTTTCAATTCAAAAAAGTTCGAAAGATGCAAAATTTGGGCAATGTTTATATCTGTGGGCCGCCATAGCAGCATAGCCGCCATTACAACATGCAGGCTTTTAGCCAAGGCCATAAAAGAGGGCGTCCAATTTTGTATAATGATCATCTACAGTAAAGAGGGGGGAGAGGAGGGGGGGATGGGTTAGAGAAAACGTTCCTCTGGAAAACGTTTGAAGTTTACTTTACTTCATGTCAGTATCTGTTCCAAGCTCGTTCAAAATTTTTCAAAACACACTTGGCTGTGTGAGTTTGTGTCGCTATGCTTCCTTACTTAACTATGCATGACACTTTCACTCAGCCAGGTACACATCAAATTGATCAAAATATCTAATGTATAATAATGAAAATTGAAGCTATTTTGTTTCAGATATATTAATATACTTAGGGAAATAATTGAAAATAATTTCCCTTTTTCCCCAGAATTTGGACATCCATTTTTCGTTCAACAATACAACAGCTTGTTGATTTAACATTTCATCATCTTCTATTTGGCAAGGAAAGTTGCATGCTCCTAAAAAGAAAAACTTATAATTAACTTGCCAAATATGATACCCTCCTAAAACATATGACATCCTCCTCACTGACACTTTCCAACATTCTCAAATTACTTTTGTTTGGACTTTCATGTAGACTTAAACCACCTATGTACAGTTGAAATGCTCTATTTCAAAAGTATTTACAGAAATGTACTGTGAAGAAATGTGGAGAAATGTACTGACATTTTTTTAGAAATTGTTACATGACATTTCTCACTGCATTTGAATCACAGTATAATAATTTACATACACAATGTAGATTCCCTCTGAAAGATGCAGCATTAACCCATAAATGGGAAGACGCAATGGGAAACAAAGATGGAAACTGGAAGGCAACACCTTGCAGTCGCCTGTGCAGCAATCATTTTCTTCCAAGTGACTACCTGCATTCAATATCAGTACAAAAATGTAAAAAGTGACCATGCCTGAAGAAGAATGCAGTGCCATCTGCTTTTGGAGACAACAATCAAGCATGGAAATCAAGCAGTCCAAAACGAAGTGCACCTGATGACTTCACTGTTTCACCCAGAAAATTAAAAAGAATTTCAATAGAATTCCACAACTATGCCAAACATTGGTCTGAGGAACCAACCATACCTGAAACCATACCCGAATCACCTGCAACCATACCTGGACCACCTGCAACCATCCCTGAACCACCTGCAACCATACCTGTCGTCCCACATTATAATCAAAGTGAAACCCCCAAAGAAAATCAAAAGCTGAAAAAGTTAAAAATAAAGGTTAGAAAAGAAAAAAACAACCTGAAAAACTCCCATTCTTGCCATAATTAATTCAGTTGATTTATTATAACATATGTAGCTTGAGTCTCAAGTTGTTATTCTATAGACTATCTTTTGTTTTATGAAGGTGAAAACTCTACAGCAAAAATTAAGAAGACGGAATTCAAAAATTAAGAGCATGAAACAAATTATCAACCAACTTGAAAAGAAGATGCTTATTTTAAAGCACGAAGCTGATTTGATGCATAACAATTTTGATGGAATAAAGCTAGCTCTGTTCCAGAATGTGATGAAGAATTCCAAGAGAGCAGCAAAAGGAAGGAGATACTCCGATGAAGTGAAAGAATTTGCTGTAACATTACAGTATTACTCTGCGAAAGCCTACACCTACGTAAGGAAAATACTACCTTTGCCGCACCCCTCCCTTATTCAGAAATGGGCACGTTCCATCAACTGTGAACCTGGTTTTCTTACTGAGGCATTTGAAACGCTCCAACAAGAATGTGAGAGTAACAATGAGAAGAAAGATTGCTGTTTGGTGATTGACGCTATGGCAAGAAAACAAGCAATCTGGGATAAAGCCAAGAAGAAGTACACAGGTTTTGTAGACTATGGAAATGGTATACAGCTGGAGCCAACTGAAACACTAGCATCTGAAGCACTAACATTTGAACTAGTGGGATTACGAAGCCACTGGAAAATACCTATTGGTTATTTTTTCACTGACAAGACAACAGCATCTGTCCAAGCATCTCTTATTAAAGCAGCACTCACTATGGCACATCAGCATGGTTTGAAGATTTGGTGCATAACATGCGATGGGACAACGACAAATTTGGCAATGTTTGAGAATCTCGGGTGTAGTTTTGGCACTTCGTATGACTCCATTGTCACCAAGTTTCCCCATCCATCAACTGGCGATGATGTTTTTGCCATTTTAGATGCTTGCCATATGCTCAAGCTAGCTCGCAATTCTTTGGCTTTTCTTGGGTCATTCCATGGCTTATTTCAAGAAAAGATTGAATGGAAATACCTCTGCCACCTACATGAAGTCCAGCAGTGTGAGGGACTCAAGCTCGCCAACAAGATCTCCACAGAGCACATCGAGTTCCAAAGACACAAGATGAATGTCAGCCTTGCTGCTCAAACCCTCAGCTCATCTGTCGCAGATGCTATCGAGTTTCTTGATAAAGTCCTGAAAACGAGTGAATTTGAAGGGAGTGCAGCAACAGTCAAGTTTATAAAGATTGTTGACAGACTATTTGACACTCTTAACTCAAGAAATCCTCATGGGAAAGGGTTTAAACAACCATTGAAGAATGTCAACATTCCACATTGGGAAAATACATTAGAAACAACAGCACAGTACCTGCTTAACCTCAAGTCAAGTTCGGGGCAGCTGCTCATCACACACAGAAGGAAGACCTTCATCCTTGGCTTTGTTATCACCATAAAGTCAACCATTGAGATGGCCAAACAGATGCTCACCTTGCCTCAAGATCCCTTCAAGTATGTTTTAACATACAAGTATTCACAAGACCACATCGAGCTCCTGTTTTCGTGCATTAGAGCCAAAGGAGGATGGAATAACAACCCGAATGTATTGCAGTTCAAGGCTGCAGTAAGACGCCTGGTGCTTGGGAATGCTGTGACTGCATCGAAAACTGCCAACTGCAAGTTGCTTGATGACAACTCCATAATCCCATTCTTCCATGCAAGAAAGAATGCCACACCATTAGCCAAGACAGCAAATGAAGAGGAGGGAAATGAAGATTCCTCCACAGAGCAGCATGATGAGAGATTGGATAGATTAATCTCCCAAGTGGACTTCCAAGAGCCTACAGAACTGAAGGCAAACATATTAACTTACATTGCTGGTCTTGTGGTGAAGAAGTTATTGAAGCAAATAAAATGCATAACATGTATTGAAAGTCTAACAAGTGGATTCATCTGCACCAACCACTACGAACATGATTACAGCCAAGCTCCATATCAAGAGAGATCTCACATGGCTCTCACACACTTCCTGAATAAAGGGTCCTTGCATATACCCTCAAAGCTGGTTGTTTCCATCATCGAATATGCAGAATACCTCTTTGTCCTATATGTTTCAAATGAAACATTTGACCAAATTAACATCAGTGAGAGGCTTAATGCCAAGATGGTCTTAGAAGTGTCAAGGTATTTTGGGCAGGAAAAACCGGAATTGTTACCTCCCTACCATCTACCAGCAGCAATTAACGAAATGCCAACTGAAGACCACAGATTGTGTCTGGTCAAGTATGTTGCAAACACTTATCTGAACCTAAGGTTGTCATCTTATGGCAAGATATATTCTAAGGCAGTCGTTAACTTTGGTAAGCCCAGTTCGAGGCACCACCTCACAAAGACAATTCTCTTTCTCAACCAGTAAAGTGCAGAAATTTGGTTCTATTAAATTTAAAGGAATTGAAGAGCCAAGAGAACTTGAGACAGTGAAACACTGCACATTTTGAAATTCCATTTGTACTGTGTATTTTAAAATTTAATATTGGGTATCCAGTCAAAACGTCCCCAGGTCAAATTTTGTGTTCAAATAAATTAAACTGCAACTAAATTATAAAAAAAATAAACATTTTCATAGGGTTACAACACAAGTTTTCCAAATTATGCAACACATGGGATTACAGTATGTAACTCTGAATTAAGTTGTTAAATTTATTTGGCAATGAATTTATTCGCAAAGAATTTTAATAGTACCGTGGTTGATTTAGTTCCTTGATCAGATCAGAAGAAATCCAAAAATATTATGTGTTAAAATAGTTTAAAATTACGTTAAATTGACAGAATATCTGATATTTAGCCAACAGATTTGACTTTAGTTGGGATAGTTTGACATGAGGACATTTTGACTCGAGACGTTTTGACCTGGGGACGTTTTGACTGGTTAACTATATTAAGTTTAACGTTTTCATTTCAAAAAATGAAAAAATCATGGTATTAAAGAGCAAGCAAGATACATTTTATACTATAAATTATTAATATTAAAGTTTGAAATGAATCATTTGTAAATTTGCTTACCTTGTATGCATCTTGTTTAGCTCATTTATCGTGATCATGTCCAACAAGTCAACAACAACGCTATATTGTTTCTTGAGATTTGTTTTTAGGATCGGTAGGTAAAAAACCCATGAAGTTCATAGCAAAAATAAGTGAAAATATCAATAAAAGTATACGGAACTATATAAAACCGCGCAGGGGACTAAAACTGACGTCCAACAACTCCTTCAATTTCCGCCATCTTGGATTTTTTTTGGCTTCACTTGGCCTATTGCCAAAACATTAGAAGTTCCTACTCCAGATATATATATATATAGAGCTCACTGGTGCAGGATAGCCTGATCCTGCACGGCTATTAACCAATCAAATTGCGTGTTTCACTGTTACAGTAGTTATTATATAATTTTATTATATGGGAGGCATTTGTTTTGATGAATCGCGCAATTTGATTGGCTGCTGACGAGGCAGGATTTTCCCGTATTGCCC